CCGGCAGCCACGGCGTGCGTCACTCACCTGCCTCCTCTTTCACACGCGGCTCCCCAAGTGGCAGCCTGTCCCCAGCACACACACCCTCCGCGGCCCGTGGGGGCAGCTGGGCCCCTCCCGGCAGCGGGCGGGAGACTTACGGCCGGCCCGTCACACGGCCCGCGTCTCAGCCTCGATCTTCTGCTCCCCGTGCAGGCCCTCGGGGTCCGGCAGAGGCGCCACGCTCTGGCGGATGGCGATCTCGGGGCCGCCGCCGTACAGGCTGCTCAGGTAGCCCCAGGTCTCCTCAGAGATCTGCCCGTAGTCGGCCCCTGCACCACAGGAGCACGTGGTCGGAGGGGCTCGCCTGGGCCCCGGGCGCAGCAGGGCGGCTCCGGAGGGCCCTGTGCCAGCTGTGCAGTGGAGCCCTGGGGTGTCCCAGCAGAAGCTGGCCCGCTACAGCCCTGGCTGTTGCCCCTCACTTCCCAGGGTGAGGCTCCCCAAAGGGCAGGCAGGCGAGGGCTGGCGGGAGGGGCACGGGAGGGCCAAGGGCCAGCCCGGCAGGCCAGAGCACCGGACCGGCGGCCAGAGGGGCAGGCTCACCCTGCTTCAGCTGCACGTGGCCGCTCCCTTTGACCTGCGCGATCCTGCTGTTGTCGATCGGTCCGGGGGGTTCTGGAACGGACACGGCCCGGACTCGCACCCTGGGCTGAGTGCCCCTGGCAGCCCAGCGCAGCCTCCCGCGCCCCCTCCCCAGGAGGTAAGCGCACTCTCCAAGGGTGCTGCCCACGCATGGATCCAGGGCACGACCTCGCGGGCGAGTACTCGGGGGGAAGTGCACTGCCACCCCAGCCCCGGGGCCAGGGGCCTCGAGGCGCCCGGAGGCAGCAGAGACCCCGAGCAGCCGGGCCCAGGTCAGACCTGCTGCGCCGTGGCCGCGACGCGGGCGCCTGGGTGACAAGTGCCTGGGGGGTGACCCGTCACCCGGCCAGTGGGCTGAAGGCAAAGCCAGGGGGCTGCAGCTGCCTCCAGTCACGCAAGGGAGGCCTGGGGTGCCTGGCAGGCTCTGGGTGGCGGCAGGGCGCCCCGCCCGCTCAGGCACTGACCAATGCTTTGTGCTCAGTCTGGGGCCTGGCCCTACTGGCCCCGACCCCACACCCTGGGTGGGAGCCCGAGCAGAGCCTCAAGAGGAGATGGGGTGCCACACATGGGCCTGGGCCCTGCTCCCCGCGCAGCCCAGGGCTCTGGGAGTCGCCCGACGGCCTCTGCGCATCCAGGGCCAGAGCCCGGTCTTCGGGGGCCCTTGGGGGCTGGGGGGCCCATCAGCAGAGTAGGGCGGCAGAATCGGGAAGGGGCACTGCAGGAGGACAGCACAGGCGGGGCCGAGCGGCACGCTGCCCCG